TCGTGAAATTGCACCAGCGGCGTAGGCTGCGGCGACTTCACCGGATGAATGTCCCGTGATAGCATGCGGGTAGACGTCCCATGTAGAGAGAAGGTCCACCATGGCAACCTGCAGAGCAGTGCATATGGGTTGGCAGAATTCGGGGTCGTTGATTCGAGAGGAGGTCTTCGACTTTGATAGTTCGACTAGTTTTCCGACAATCATCAGCAAGAAGTCACATATTACTGGTCCACGATGTTGGGACACTTACACGTTAACGACCAATTGCAACCAAGATCGTTGAGATACCGATCAGCTGCCAAAAGACTCTCTTGAAAGGCGCGGTACGCCAACAGGTCCATGCCCATCGTCGCCCATTGCGCTCCCTGGCCAGTAAAGACAAACGCAAGCCGCGGGTTGGTCTTTGCTCGTATGGGAGTAGCCGCATTCCCCTCAAGAGACTTTTCCAATTGCGCTGGCGAGCTGGCGATGCTAAACGTTCTCCAGGAATGACGGGTCCGCCTGCAGGCCAGTGTGTAGCTGAGGTCCCTCAAAAACCGCAGCTGGGCGGATTCTCCGACGATCTGGGCCGCTTTCGTTGCAAGATAGTCCCTGTATCCGTCTCGTAACCGAGAAACGGCATCCTGGTCGTTTGCCGACAAGACAAAGAGACGTGGGGCGTCTTCAGTGTCAAAATCGTCTAGATGGATCCCGCTATCCGATGGGCGGTGGAATCCGTTGACGCGGCCTGGGTAGTTGTGAAGAAACGTCAGCATATACCTATTGTGCCTGGAGGAATACGAAGAGAGACTTACCCGTCCCATTTACTAGAGGTGCGTCCAGTTGTCTTGGAATCTTGGGGATCGTCTCCGTGCGATGGTTCCCGACTAGGCGGAAGCTCTTGAGGAAATGGAGCGCATCATCCATCACTACATGGGCGTTGCTGCCACCGACGCCAAACGAGTTCACGGACATGCGGCGCAGGCCACGCTGCGGCCACGCCGTTGATTTTGTGGGAAACCTCAAGTTCCACTCGTCTTGGATCTTTGGGTTGCGCTTCTCGAACCAAATGTTCCCGGGAATAACGCCGCTCTCTAGCGTCAAGACACCCTTGATCACGGCCGCTACGCCCGCAGCGCCTTCCAAGTGTCCGACGTTGCTCTTCAGCGCACCCACGTACAGCGGCTCGTCCGCAGACCGATGAGGCGCAAAGATCTCAGCAAGGGCACTCGCCTCGATGGGATCGCCCACGGGTGTACCCGTGCCGTGGGCCTCGGCGAACCGCGTGAGCGAAGGGTCCAAGTTGGCACGCTCGTAGACGTGCTTGATGAGCGCGACCTGACCCCTTTTCGTCGGCTGCGTGATGCCGGGTGATCGGCCGTCCTGGTTCGTGGAAGAGTTCCGGATGACGGCGCGGATGACGTCCCCGTCCCGAATGGCATCCGATACCCGCTTTAAGACCAGGGCCCCGAACCCTTCGCCGCGGGAGTATCCGTTGGCCCGGTGGTCAAAGCTGTATGACTTGCCGTCCGGACCCAGAACGCCCGCCGCGTCTAGCTTTAGTGTCATCTCGGGAGTCAGGATAAGGTTGCACCCGCCCACGACGGCCTAGTACATGATGACGGGGTGGTTAGCCAAGAGCCCGGCTTGCAGACGGCGGGGGAGAGGAGGAGGGGCGTGGTTTGGTTGGCTTCAGTGTCACCGCCCCTGGAGATGAAAGGGACTTTGGTAAAATTACATGCATGAGAAAAAGAGCCTCACCATGTTGACTTCACGAAGTTTGAGACTCATGCATGCTTCGTGCACGGCCACCAGACTGCTTGAGCAGGCCGTGTCTACTGTTACACTCGGGCCCCGAAAGTCGAAGAACCACGAGACTCTGTTGCTGAGCATACTGGCTACTGTGCCCAGGGCTGAGTATTTATTCGGGATATCCAAGTCTTGCGCTATGTGATCATTGTAATCGGCCGTGAAGCAGCCGACGTATACGCCGGTCTGGGTTCCGGCAACGGTATCGAGAGGTATTCCGGCTTCGTGAAAGGTCAGTATTAAGGCCAACTTCAAGTTTTGCAGCATCGAAAATTGGAATGTCTCTTCGTACCATTTTCGAGGGCCTTGTATACACTCTCCAACATTCCTCGCTGTTGAGGATCAATACTTCGTGCTTCTGTGGGTGTGATGGAGAAAAACGGCGCGTCAAACGCTGATATGCTGCCCTTGAGAAAGTGGCCATGGCGAACTCGTGTCTAAATTAAAGCGCTGCAAGTCAGTTTTCGTCGCATAAACTTTGCATAACGCGGAGCGGGAACACGCACGGCGCCGCTCCTGTCGGCATCCGGATGCCAAAATGCCTCTGCGTTGTATCTCTCCCGCGGGACTTCCGTCCGAGCTGACCTCCCGGCGAGTAAGGACTCGTAGAACCGCTCTGGCGTATCGCCGTCCCCTGGAAGCCTCGCGCTGAGCCCGACAATGGCGATGGGATCTCCCATGATGTATACCGTACAGGGCTTGGGGGCTGTCTTTTTCGTCTAGTGTTTCGATACTATTGATCTACTCAGGTCCGTGCGGTGAGCTACGGTGAGAGTTTGAGGGATGGTGGGAGTCGGGGAAGTGAATTGAGACATGGAACGAAATCCTTAGGACAGAGACCAGAACCTGGATCAGGGCTCCAGCGAGATAGTAGCATTATTAGAAAGAATCCACCACTTGGTTTCCCCTCTTCCACTCATTCATGTGGACTACTCCGTAGCTAGCTATCAGATATTTCTGGCGTCAACCTCGACAAGCAAATTTAGTCAAACCCTGGTCGGAAAGAAGAGGCCACACGCGTCATGTTGGCGAACTTGCGATGCACCAAGCACGGAGATGGCTCCAACAAGCTTCGCACTTTGACTGGAGTTTCTCTTCCAACAAAACATGGTGCATGAAGAATAAGACAAGGGTCCCGGATAGAAGGGGAGGAGATATAGTAGATACGTGGTTCAATATGGTACATGCGGTCGAGGAGGGTGGCTAAAGGGTGGCTACGTCGATGGTTTTCGTACCCGTACAAGGTCACGAGGCTGGGAAGACAATGGCGATTCCCGATGAACACACCCGTTCGTTAGGTAACTGCGAAGCTTTGCGTTCCGCGTTCCACAGAGTTCATTTATCGCTCCGCCTCGGCATGCCGTACTTTAGACCCTGGGAGCAGTTCAAGTAGACGTGTTAGTGCAGGCGAGACATCCATCGGGCCCAGATACAGGGGACCGGTGGAACACAAATTACACAAGATTCCTCGGGCTGATTTCGACCGGGCTTCCTGTTTGGTTGGCCCGCAGTGTGCATGCGCCCCTGTCTCTCGTTCTTTCTCGCTTCTCCCACGCTCGCTCAACTCGGGATCGGTCTGACCCCTCTTGGAAAGTACGGCGACGATGATGACCAAGTCAAGACGCGAGGTGCACAGGGTCTCGCACATATTTTGCAGTTTAAGGTGCTTACCAAGTAAGAGGGGTGGGGGGGCCACGGGAGATTGCTGTTGGTTTTCCCATCTTGTTTCGGTTGCAGTTCTTCGGCACCACGTGAAGCCAAGTTGTCGACTGCCCAAATCCAATAGTCGAGCATAGACTGCATCAGTGCATACTCGAGCAAATGATGAGCTGTTCCTCTTGGCTGCTTCTTCCCCCTTTTCGACGACTACCTCGCTGCACTTCTGCAGTGATTGCCTGGATCGGGAGCCGGATCCCGGAGATCCGATGACGATCGTTGCGATAGTCTGCCAGGATGCGCTTGGGCGAATCATTGCTTCTGGATTCTGGAAGGCGGCATCATGGCAGAGACCTTGACTCAGTGCCGTGTAAGCAGGCAGGCTCAGGCATCAGAGTCGATCCCACACGATGGCGTCCCAGCTACCGAACCCTGGCCTACTCGGCTACAGGGGTCGTGCTGGTTGCTGGCCAGTGGCCCCCCCTTGGGTCTCACGGCTCCCGCTCCATAAGAAAAATGCAAGGTCATGACTAGGAGGATGACAGGTTTTAGTTGCCGGTCCAAGGCGTTGGGCCGCGTTGGAACGTAAGAAAGAGTGTGTGATGGCTGTGATAACGAGGAAGAAGTTTGCGCTCTGATAAGGAGAGTTCTGACAAAATTGATAAATGCGCCTTGATATACAATGTTTGCTTCCCCTTTCTCATCACTGGCACAGAAGAGCCCTTGCCAGAAATGCCCGTTATTTCTTTTTCAACGCTGCCAACGTCGCCAGCGTCGCGTGACATGACGACTATAGACTGGGTTGCGATTTCGCGAGGGTTTCCGCAACGTTTCCTTGGACTATGACAGGCCCGGGGAAGAGTCCAGAGTGCCAGAGTTGTCTGCCCATCCGGGCACATTACCACTGATTCTGATAAAGCGCCGACAAAAGCCCCGCAGATATTAGCACTTAGCAGCGACACGGCTACGCGCAGTACGAGGGCTTACCAAACCAGCTCGCCATCCGTACAAGGTTTTTCTGTTTTAGCGGCAAGGGATGGAAAGGGAGAAGCGACACAAGACAGGGGCCGTTCAAACACGGCAGTGTCCGGGAGATGATGGCATGGCATGGCATGGCCACCTTGGGTTGGGGACCTTTGCACCTTTGCCCAAAAAATAAACTGTTGCCCTAGCCCGTTTTTATTCAGTTTCCCCCAGAAATGAAAAAAACAAGACGAACCGCTTCTGGTTCATGGGACGACCTTGTCTATCCTATCCCGCCGCACCCTCTTTCTTGCTGGTTGCTTGTCTATCACTTTCTTCCTACTCTCATTGCTACTGGTAACCTTCTTTCTTCCCCCTTGCGTTATACGGAGACCAGAGTAAAAGCCCGCCTATCGTCGAGCCTTGCTGACCTGCAACTCTCTTGGTTTGTGCATTGCGTCTTTGGCCCGGCATTTAACTTGGACCCCCCCAGTTTCCCGAATTCCCCCTCCTCCAGTCCCGAGGCGCGCACCGCTCCCTTCTACCCTTCCCCCTTGCCCACCACGGTCTCGCTCGGAGCGGACCGCATGTTGATGGACAGGTTCTACAACCAACAGCGGCTTCGCAAAAGCGGTGGTAGCAGCTTGAGCTCAGTCGGTTCTGGCTCGCCCGTGGGACGGCACCAGCCGACCCGTCCTCCAACGGCCGCCAACAGCATCTCGGCCGCCTCCACATCGACGCTGCTCACCGCTAGTTCGTCGTCCGAACGTACCCGCAACTTTTCCACAGACAGCAGGCCGCGCACGCCGCCATCAACGAGGCCATCGATGCAGTCAGGCGAACAAGACGTACGTACTTCTCCGGTCCATGAGACATTGACCCCTCCGTGGACCATAGCAACTGTCATGTTGTCGCCGGCGCCTACGGATACAGGCGGTAATGCAGGCTCGACCAAAGCTCTTGAATCTCATGCCGCAAATAGGAGTATCCCGAGGATCATCCGAGCCCGACCTCCGATGAAGTGAACGAGGCCGTCTGGGCGGGAGGGTCCGACTCAGACGACGGATCGGACAGCGACCCGACGCCGGGTCAGAGTCTCCGGGCGGTAACACAGTGAGTCTCTCATTCTCATCCGATGATGTTGTCTTTCATTTGTTTTTTTTCTACTGTTCATTGTGTTTCATGTTTATCCTCATTCTCACTTTTCCTTGCCATCTCATCGGCCACTTTTCTTTTCCTGCGACATTCTGACCATCCGAACCATCCGTGCAGTAGTAGTTCCAGCAAATCAAAGATCAAGACGGGTAAATCGTCCATCTTCCAGTCCATCTTCAACAAGTTCGCCAAAACCGGAAAGCGCTTCGGTTTCGTGCCAAATACCAAGGTACGCTTACGCTTTACTCAACTATCATCCTTTGATGCAGGTTGCCCCCATGCTAACCCGTCTTACCAATCCGACAGGAAGAACAAGACAGAAATGGTCAGCATGCATCCTTCACCGTGGTCCACCGGTCCTTGAGTTCACGGCCACCTAGCTCTTCACCTCCACCTGTATCTTGCGCTTCCTGCAGGATCTGGAGCGTCTAGACCAAGACCTGCATTGTCGCTAACCAGGAATCCGCAGTCCTCCAACACCAGATCATTGCCGAACTCTTCGACCACAGACTCCACTTGGCCCCAGTCGTCAAGGCCAGGGCCGCCCTCGACGTAGGCACGGGGCCAGGGCTATGGGCATTAGTGCGTTAACCTTCTCATCATCAGTCACTTCGCAACGCCCCCTCCCCTCACCTTTTCCCGCATAAATGATGTAATTAGTCTGATATCACGGAATGACTCGCTAACTAGCCTCATGTAGGAATATGGCAAGTCGCTCCTGTTAATTCTTACGGGGTATTATAATACCGGGAAGTTCACGCTAACGCCAGTTGACCGCCGCAACAGCAAAGAAGAACCCAAATTGTGCCGTGATGGGCGTCGATATTGAGAAAGTGCGCCCTCCGTATAATGTGTCCAACTGTCAGTTCAAGGTCATGGATATAACTACCGACTGGAACATCGGCAGACATTTCGACTTCATCCATGTTCGTATGCTGGGCGATATCGTGGAAAAGGAAAAGTTCGTCGACTCCATCTATCGCCACCTCAACCCTGGGGGCTGGGTCGAGTTCAGCGAATGGATCGCGATCCTCGTATCCCCAGATCACTCACTAGAGGGGACAGCATTTCACAAGTGGAACATGCTTCTTCAACAGGGTCTTCAAAATATGGGCCGCTCCATGCACTACGTCTCGCAATATCAGCCCATCTTGGAGAAGTCAGGGTTTGAGAGGATGAAGTTGACAAAGCACGCTGCGCCTACGAACGCGTGCTACCCGGGTAAGAAGTGTCAGCGGTTCGGTACCATGATGTCCAGTAACTGGAATGCCATCATCGAGCCGCTAAGTGTCCCTGTTTTTACTATTGGTCTAGGCTGGTCCGAGGCCCAGGTTCTTGCATTGGTTAAGAAGGTCCGCAAGGAGATTGATGATACAAACTACCATTCGTTCATGACGCTGTAAGTTATCTCCGGAGCCAGGCAAGGTTGGAGGAGGTCCTGGATCATAACTGACAATCACATTTTCATATCAGGCTTACGATATACTGTCGGAAGCCACGTAGCGGTGCATCATCGTCCGCATCGTTGGCGAGCTCATCACGCTCGGCAGCTCAAATGTCGGTGTCCAATGTCAGTTCACATGGGTAGTAGAAAACGGCGTCTAAAAATGGGTGATGTGTTTACAAGGGGTTTGGGGATATCATACCACCATTGAGCGTTTGCAAGGCAAGCGAGCAATTTTATCATCAAAGGAATCCTCCGGTTCCATTATCAATATAGTTGAGGTTTCCAGCCATTCCATATTCTTGGTATCCAGCACGAACAGTCCCATAATTTGCATGTAGGTACGTGTTTCCGAACATGTAGGTCGTCGAATTGAGGCAAACGCCGCATCGTGTTGATGAACGCAAGCGATTCACTCCCCACCGACGGGCAATTTTCTGCTTTGGGCGGGACTTGTTTTCTCTTCGGTTAAGCGATAAGACGCTGCGTTTTTCATCGGCACAGCCACCCCGCAGTGCCCGCATGCCAGGATCAATAGACTGCCACAGGATTTCCAGGGCTTGATATGCAGGATTGCGGCGCAGTCAGGCGACTCGACGCGCGCAGGCACCGCAGGAGGAAGGATTACGGGGTGGTCTCTCAAAGGGTCCTATAATCCTATCTTCTCGAGGCACCGGTACTCCCGCAGATCAGTGGCGCCAGTTGAGGCCATTCAGACCATTCAAGCCCCCTCAATTGATTTCAGGCCGGCATTGCTACACGTCACATGCATATTCGCCTACGTGGGGAAGTATGAGCTGATATGATATGGGCCAACCGGCTCTTACGGGGGTCATCTGAGGGATTTAAACCCTTACTCTGCAGACCGGGGCCAATGGATAGGTAATCCGACATGAACGTCTGTGAGCACGAAGATGATAGTTCTCCTTGCCAACTACTCTAGCGCCAACAAGACAGTCATGACATACGTAGAAGACTCTGAGCGTTTGCCAGAAGCAGAAGGGAAGCCGGCAATTAACCCACCACCTTGCATATGACAGAACCACTTGGTTCTGGGTACGGATACCGAAGGATGCATTAGTTGTTGCTGCAGAATTCAGGACGGAACAGACTCCGTCCCGCAAGTTCTCATTGGCCAATTCCGACACGATGTACTCTTGTTAACGCAGAGTTGAACGATAGAGCAACCCATGCTTGATAGTGAGGGAAGCTCGGAATAGGATTCAAGCGCAAGTAAACTGAATAGCCACGGTAAGCGCTCGGTGGCATACTATCGGTGAGTTGTTACCGACACGGTGATAATTGCCCAATTCCCGGAAGGATCTAGGGCTTTCCCGCACCTTTGGACTTTGTTTCCACCAGACTTTACTCACGAGTCACGACAACCCAACGAAAGCGCAATCTAGCGAGTCGTCTTCATTCCCACCCCCGTGCTGCCAATCTTTCCTCTCTAAATCAATTCCTCGATTAACTAGTGCCATCGTCAACAATGGCCGATCTCGGCGCAGACCGCACTGCGGCCTATGGCGCAGTCTACTCGCCCTCATTCCTCACAATCTTCTACGACAAGTACGTCCTAGGCTTCAATATGTCAAAAGTCTGGGGCTGCAGCACGGAAAAACTCCTTCTCCCCTTCTTCAGCGAAAATTTCACCCGCAACCACCTCGATATTGGCGTCGCTACGGGCTGGTTCCCGGCAGCCGCCCTGGCGCGGCCGTTTCGCGCCACCAGCAAACAGCGCATTACACTGCTGGATCTCACCGCGCCGCCTTTGAACGCGGCGAAGACCCGCGTGCTATCAGTTACGACCAACACCGAGGTTCAGTGCGTTGAGGCTGATGTCACGGAGCCGCCGCCGAAGCAGCTTCTCGGCGAGCGGTTTGACTCCATTTCCATGTTTAATCTGTTCCATTGCATGCCTGGCGGCAAGGCCAAGCTTCGCGCATTTGGTTTGTACAAGGAGTTGTTGAGCCCGGAAGGTGTGTTGACTGGCTGCACGGTGCTGGGCCCAAATGAGTCGACTGGGTGGTTTACCAAGTTTTATCTCCGGTGGTACAACAAGTGGTGGGGTGTTTTCAACAACTGGGACGACAAAAAGGAGGACATTCAAGAAGCGCTGGATCAAGAGTTCGAGGAGGTCGAGACGTGGATTGTTGGACAGGTGATGCTGTTCAGGGCGAAGAAGCCAAGAAAGGCGCTTCTTGATGTTTGAGATTTGGAACGGATATGATACCTACAGCTGCATGAGTTATGAGTTAATGAGATGGGTGCATGACTGGACGTAAACAACTGGCTTCATAAGCAATACGAAGAGCGCGAATTTCTTGCATAACACTTTACTTGAGTAGTAGTCTGGTATGTTCCCTAAAGTCCAACTCCGTGTCGCTGCTTTGATGAGAGAAAGGCTGGAGTGCCTTGGCTCCCGTGTCATTTCATTTGCGTGATATTTGTAATGTCGAGCTCTCTCCATAATACTGATCAGAAATATGATATACCGATGTATTCAATCAACTCTACTGCAACAACTACTTGATATCCGATCCCTCCCGCCACAAAATAACTGCCGGCTTAAGTATGGCATATAGAGTCGCTACCCTCAACGGTCATCATCTCCAGTCCTTTTCACCCACAGCAGTTGTTTGGTGCAGCCTTTCTAAGTTCAACATCCGGCGTATCGCCTCCCAGCTGAGCTAAATTTTTGACTCTATGTTGTATTCGAGAGCCCGCTCTCTCCATACTAACGTTGGCAAATGGTTCTCGTAGCTTGACTTTTCGATCATCTTATTCCTTATCTACGAACGATCTGGGCCAGTGCTCTCCAACGTTGAGATACGCGCTGACAAAGCTATGATAGAGTGAGTCTCCAGCTCAGTTTTGGTTTCGCGTTGAGTTCAACCATCAAATGTATGACCTTATGTTTGGTTATTTTACTAGCCTACTCCGCGCACGCAGGTCGTTCATGCACCAAGTCTTTCGAGCTTCTGAGCAGGAGTTCCGCCTCCTAGTAGGTCTTTCAGAGGGCATCTTGCGACATCTGCGCATGACACCTTCCTGAGTCTGTCAAGGCTTGAACCTTTTCTCAAGAAAGGAACCATATTCTTCCATCTAGTGTCAAGTTTCCCTTGACGTGCAAGGCAAATTAGGTACTAGTTGTCTAGTCAAGCGTCTGTTGAACTTGAGCCGACGAGCGCTTCGTACAGCTTTACCTGATCGATTTTAGCACTCGTCGAGAGCAAAACGTCCGGCCGAAACTCTCCACATGTTTGTGGTTAACGGATCGGTGGCTGTTGTGGCCTTTTCGTAAACTTCTGTCTACTTACTGAACGTTTCATGTTTGTTACGCTGTTTGGTTACTAGCCCATCCTTTTGCTTTGTATAGATCCCCGATGAAGTAAGCAGCAAAGTTAGACGAATAGCAGCAAATAGTCCAAGAAACCCTCGCCTTCTTGGTGGAGACCGTTATACTGTATCCGTCGCAGAGCATCTCTTGCCCATTTCGATCTATTGAAGACAGATCAGAGCTGCCGCCGTGATATCTTCATCGTTGGCTTTGGCCTAATACTAGGTATGATCAACTGACAATGGGCCGCAGAGGAACGTACCTATTGACGCCTCGGTGCGTACTGTGACACTTTCTACGAAAAAAACGTACGTCAATAATCGGAGGAGCTTGTAGCAGCACGTTAGTGTTACATTGATCTGACTCGAGAGAGACGCACGACTAACAACACACTGTCAAGGAGGGTTTCCTGTATTGGAGTTGGGAACTTGCGTTTAGCCAAGTCAATTTGGATATCATTTTCAAATTCTCGCTACAAGCAACATCCTCAAGCTACAGTTTTGGATCATTCTATAGGCCTTGATACCTTTTCCTGATGAACACAGGAAACGTCCTAGACTATCTTTCACACGGTATTCTCCTCCTTCCGGGCTTGAACGTCAAGCTTCCTCTGCTTTCGCCATTCCTCGGCATATCTCACGCCAAATCCATGCTCGAAAACTACCCTGATCTCCTCCAACGTCATGTTTGCTGCTTCAGGGAAGCAGAAGATCACAAACACCCAGCCCAAGAAAGACAAACCAGCGTATAGACCAAACGTGCCTGATGGGGTCATACCTCGCATCATTGACAAGAAGGTTGAGGAGACGATGATGTTCGGGCCCCAATTGAAGATGTTGATCATCATGGTTCCCATAGCTCGGACTTCCATGGGGAGAAACTCGTTCGCCTGCCAAGGAACACAACCCAACCCGGCAGCGTAGAAGGCCACGAACATAATCATTGCAACCAGGACCAGGGTTGCGGGCCAGCCCACTTCCTTGGTGGTCAGCTCTAGAGTGTTGTTGTCCAAGGGGATCCAATGGAACGCAATGGCGGCAACGGCGAGGCAGACAGGCATACCCCACATGGTCCAGAGCAGGATTCTTCGCCGGCCGATTCTGTCAATGAGGAAGATTGACAAGACTGTGAAGATGAAGTTGGTGCCTGCTACAACGGTTCCAACAGCAACAGGGTTCGAGAAGCCGACGATCTGGAATAGGCCTTGAGACTCTGGTTAGCATAGCACATGAAGCACAGTGTATAATAAGTCATGGCACCGTACTGGAACTGTAATACATAAGTGTATTAAACCCGCAGAGCTGTTGCGCAGCCATAAGGCCACAAGCTGAAGTGACTGCTCGCAAATTGGCCGGGACCTTGAATAGGCTGGTGACGGACTTTCGGAGGGAAATCTCTTCGTTGAGGACCTTGGCTTGGTTGACGCCGCGCTCAATAGAAATCACTTTGTCTGCGATTTCATCTTCGCTGCCATTGGGATAGATCTGTCTCAGAACCCGGATACAGTCGTCTCGGTGGCCGTGAAACATGAGTTGACGAGGTGACTCTGGACACCAGAAAAGGAGAATACCGAGTATGATTGAAGGGACACCGCCAATCCCAACCATGTATCTCCAGCCGTGTGCGGTCGTGTTGAAGGCTGCGGCGAAAGCGTACGCAAGCACAGATCCGGCACCGAGGAAGATCATGTCGATTGAGATCATTCGGCCTCTGAATCTGGCAGGGGAAATCTCTGCGATGTATAATGGTACGATCTGAGAAAACATTTCACGTTAGCACACGGACCCCGGTCAAGTCTGTTGCGGAAAAGCATAGAGATATGGAGGCTTACCATGGATGCAGAGCCGACACCAAATCCGATCACAAGTCGACCAACGGTCATTTGCGCAATCGTGAAAGAGGTAGCCTGGAGCAGGGCACCGATCGTAAAGAGTATAGAGGCGAACCAGATAGCAGGCTTTCTTCCGTACTTGTCAGCAGTAATACCGGCAATGACGGCGCCGATCAAGGCTCCAGCTGCGGTGACTGCCGTGATCAACTCCTTTTCTGAGTGAGTAAGGTCTTTGTTGTCGAGGTCTTGGCCGATAACAACAAGGACTCCGGAGATGACGCCAGTATCGTAGCCAAAGAGCATGCCCCCGATCGCGGTTGCCGCAACACAGAGCCAGACAAAGGTACCTGGTTTGGTTTCCTCGATCCGCTCTAGGTCACGATTCTCTACGGCCTTGACTGCGTCGCTGACTGCATTGTTCTGCTCGACGTGCTGGACGCCTTGCTTGAAGGAATCATCTGGTAACCCCATGGCGAAATTGGCCGTGGGTCGGCGGAGTTTCGATCAGAAGAAGATAGTTATAACGAAAGGTCTTATTGTGGCATTAAGATTGCAACTGAAGACGGGGTCTCTGAGATCTTGCTCATGAGTACGAAGTCGGTACCGGGGGGATGAGCGAGCTTTATAGACTTTGCAACTTCACCACACGCTTTGGGAATGGTATCAGATGAAGGCTGACACTCAAGTTCTTGAGTAACAACAGCAAGGACAAGACACGTCGGACTAGCGTACGGGATGATTCCCGGCAGGTCTCAACCGTCTCATGGGGAGAGCTGTTGCGGGGTTGGCCCTTATCTGACAAGGTGAACACTGTCCAAGCCCTCATCTTGATGTCTAACATCCAAGAAAATTCCAGCCGTCTGACATTGCTCCTTGTTTCTATAGGTCAGTAACGCTTTCTTGACTCTAGTCCGTCGTATTCGTTGGGTCTCTAGCGGGTCTGAAGCACGGGGAAGTTTGGGGGAAATCTGGATTCGCGGGGTAGTCGACTAGGATTCGTCTGGGGAAATGGAGCCATTGCGAGCGCCCCCACCAATTGTGCGACAGTCTATCGCCCAGGTCGTCGAGTCAGGCCTGTCTAGCGCCGCGCGCTTTTTACTCTCTCTGGACAATGAGGCAGTCGTTTCCGTTGCGAACCCGAGCCGCGGGCTAAATCTATTGCCGTTAACAGGGTAGTCAACTCTTCCGTCGCCCCGAATGCTTCGGTTTTGCGGCCGCTGACCATTCTGTTGGATGAGTAAACAGTCTGGATACGTTGCAACATTCCGTAGTATGATAGTCTTGACGGAAAAGGCCTCCATGAAAGCCCGAAGGTTGACGTAATGTCGGAAGTGTCCCTTTGAAGATGGACATTTCCGCCGTTTCGCCCCTTTTGAGGTCTATACTGAAATATCTGAACTGTCCTCGTCCAGGCGAATAAAGGATCACCGCGCCGAGAGGCCAAAATCTCCGGCAACCACCAGTAGGACCGACATGTAAGGGTGCTGTTCTGCAACGTCACGTCATGGACACTGATGTATTTATTATATCGAAGAGGTGATTTGGGAACAACCCCATTCCAAGTAACTTCATGTTCGAGAAGATGACGCTCTTCGCTACGGGCAGAAAGTCTTTGCCACCGCAATCACGGGAAGGCTTGGTATCGCCTTCACTTTCTCCAATCGAAGAGTCATAGTGGCATGTGGACGTGACGGAGTGGTTGACTGGGGAACTGTACTAGATGACTAGCAGAGGAATCAGCGGAAGATGCATCGTGATGTACCTTTCGTTCAGCATGCGACATCCGAATCTTTGAATCGGGTTCAACGTTTATAAGCACTGCCGAACATTGGAGGTGGATTATTAGTCCTTCCATGGGTCGAAAACCGCTTTCCGGCAGCCTGCCATTGTGAAAGCAACCCCCTCAGCACAGGCGCTATCCAGGGCCATTGGTGTCGAACCTGACGCGCTCCAAGCCTCCAATCAGAGCGACTCCAATGAGTTTTGTCTTTCTCCACTCGACGTGGAGAAGTCGAGCTGAGTTCACAGCTGGTGAGTTATTGTGAGACTGCGGAATGGACAGCCATACCGAAGAGTTCGTAAGGTAGACCTCTCCAAAGGAAACACACGTGCCTATCATTTGACTGAGGGTCCTAACTTGATAGTCCGACCGTATTGGTATGCCTACGATTGGTTCAGTCCATCACGCGAAAATGATAAAGGACTCGAGCGAAACCTCTTTCTCACCGAATGAAGGCGCTCAAACTGAGCTTTTACGTAGAATTGAACGTCAATTTGAAACTGAACTTGCCGATAAAGGCATAGAGAATGACTCTACGTTTTCCTCGAGCTTGGAACTATTATTTCGCAATCCTAGGCCGGGTTGATCTGACAGTAACCGTCATCAGCAAACCTCTTTATTCGGTATTTTCTCGGAGCGGAGTGTACTTCCGGATCTACCGCACAATCTTCGCCGACGTGGATCTTCGGCCCCCCACGACCTCGGACCCGAAAACCCGGCTTCCCCTACAAGCCCAAGCGGGTGACAAAATCGATTTCCTGCTCGACATCTTGATAAATACCCCTTTCACTACTCATATCATACTTACTCCCTTCTTATATCAAAGTCCTTCCTAGGTATATTTGTAGAGGAATAAACTCCGTTTGATAGATATTAATACTAATGATAACAGCAGTATTAGTACTAGTGATAATAGCGGTGGAACCGCTTGTCGCACATGTGGAGCGGAAATCGATTTAGTCACCCACTTGAAGCCTTGCAATGAATAGGCCGAGATGTCCCGATTTCTCTACTGAGACATCGGGACAATGGCATTGAATGTTGCCGCAAACTCGGAAAACGTGACACAGAGCGAGACGCCCTCAACTTCCAACACGCCACTAGCCTTAAAGTAGAAGCGGAAGTTTTGAATGATGCTCCGTGGGAGTTACCGAGTAGAAGCATCATCCAGGGTGCCTGATTCTCGGACGCAAGGCTTCGTGACAACAAAGGCTTGAAATCTGGAGGTTATTTCAGTGCTACTGCACGTCGCGTGGCCTACACTCGGCTATACTCAGGCCCCCCACCGATCGGGAGGCTCGCCGGTAAATGTCGACGAGGTAACCTCTCTCACCTTTTTGCCGCCGGGTAAATTGCTATTCCCATATTAATCGACCCAGCTATCCTAGAAATCTCAACGTGGTTAACATTTGGACACGGGCTAGATATTCCGACTTCCTTGTTTGACCCCCATCAGAGTTGCTGGTACACCACCGGAACATCTCATATCTGGGAAAAGCACGGGTACATTTCACTGCTTTGTGGACACCAGCATGTATGAATCTATATCGACATTTCCTAAGAATCTATACTATATCAGAGGGCAACAAAGAAGTAGAGAAATGCCTACCTCGTATTGATGGAAAGTCACAACCAAGTACCAAATTCTTTGGAACAGACTTGGACAGGTGAAAGGAATTCTACCAAGCTAATTAACTCGCACTTAGACCGGTGCCAAGGACTTGGTTCCGGTAGAAGTCTAAGGGAACTTGAGATGTAACGGAGTGACATTGCACCCGTCTTGAACCCAAGGACGATGCCCGATCGGTTGCCAGGGGCACATGAGTTTAACTCAATGGCGTGGCGGTACCAGTACCTTTACTTTGGAAGGGAAGTTTTTGTTACATTTGGAATTCTTGTGTCGCTTTGGTAGACCGAGACCGAGACTGGCACAACATGCTATAGATATAAAGCCACAGACTTCGCGCTCGTCTGAATCATGAACAGCGTGAATGACAGACAACATCAGCAATCAAGTCATCATGGTCACTTTCAACTCGCTTTTCCTGGCGTTCGCCTCCGCTGCCAGTGTTCTCTCTGCCCCTGGAGAGCTGATGAAACGCCAGTCAACTCCTTCGTCTACTGGAACAAACAACGGCTACTATTACTCCTGGTGGACTGATGGTGGATCTCAAGTTACTTACACCAATGGTGCAGGGGGCCAATACAGCGTCGTCTGGCAAACGGGTGGTAACTTTGTCGGAGGCAAAGGCTGGAATCCCGGTGGACCGAGGTATAATCGTCCCTTACCTACTCAGACAGAGTCTTGAGCGCGTTCCTGACGACGGACTATCTTTCAGAACTATCACGTATTCTGGCAGCTATAACCCGAATGGTAACAGCTACCTCGCGATATATGGCTGGACCAGAAACCCCCTGATCGAGGTTTGCCTGATAATCCTGACCGACCCCAACATCTGCTAACCTCCACACGCAGTATTACATCGTCGAGTCCTTCGGTACCTACAACCCTTCCAGCGGCGCTACCAAGAAGGGTACCGTCACCAGTGATGGTGGTACGTACGACATTTACGTCAGCACGCGAACCAACGCCCCCTCCATCGACGGCACAAAGACCTTTCAGCAGTATTGGTCCGTCCGCCAGACGAAACGCGTGGGCGGAACAGTCACGACCGGCAACCACTTCAATGCCTGGGCTCAGGTGGGCCTGAACCTTGGCACTCATGACTACATGATCGTTGCCACGGAAGGATACTTCAGCAGCGGCTCTTCTACAATCACTGTCGGTGCATCAGATGCTGGTGGTGGTGGCACAAGCCCGCCTGTGACTAGCCCTCCGCCCAGCAGCGGCGGTGATGGAACTGTGAGATCTCAATTCTTGACTCTAAGTCCTTATTGACTAACTTATCTTCTCCCTGCTAGTGTGCTGCGAAGTGGGCTCAATGCGGAGGATCTGGCTTCACCGGTCCGACTTGCTGCCAATCTGGGTCCACGTGCCAAGCCTCCAACCAGTGGTATTCTCAGTGCCTGTAAACTTTGCAACGTCGGAATAAGGATGTAATGCGAGACATGCTTTCTTTCTTGGGGCACAGACTATCTAGGGCGAAGGATAAATTCTCAGCGATCAGGTATTCAGGTGTCGGAAGGAGATTTGATGACAAGCATCTTCAACCTTGAGATTTCACCAACCAAAGTTGCGTGATTGAATATGTTGAGATGAGGGCTTACATCGTGGTTTTTCTCTATCTACTTCATAGTTTGGATTGAGTTCTATGCGTCTATTCTGGACTTGCGTTTGAGCAAGGGAAGATGTGCTGTCGATGAGGTCCTGGTGTCATCAATGAGAATTTCCTTGTATATCTGTGGCTTGATACCATCGTAGCCCTCCTATGTCATGTGCAAAACTTCAGTCGCAGTCTGATATCTCGTATGAACGATGAGTGCCCTCTCCCACTACCATCTACAGTAGGCAAACTCGAGTCTCGTTCTATACGAGCACAAAGCTCTCAGAACTGAATATAAGCAAGGCGTTACTGATCATGCTGCGATGGGGTTTTTGATATGTTTTGTAGGCCGCCGATGGATATCCACTCTGTGCCGTCGTTTGATCATATTAGGCGGCAGAGTCTTCCAGTCATCCTTCCCATTGACCTCGGTTCTTGTCGGAAATCCGCACAGCTTGTAGTTCCAT